TTTCAAAAAACCTTTATGGTTACGCGCTGTCAGCCTCGTTTCGTTTCTCTGAGTTGGTTTAGGCTCCGATTCTCACCTTGGGCTCCACTCAACTTATGTATCTCTGTTGATACATTTCTGAGCAGGGTGTTGCTACTAAAGATCTGTCGAGTCAGTTCTTTGAGCAGATTTATTCAGAACTGGCGGTAGCCCCCCTGGATGGCAGGCCAGGGTCTGGTTTGGTTGTTAGACACCTGGCCATATCCCCTTAAAGGAATCTCTTTCTTCTGATTCCAAGCCTTGAGCTCTGCCCTAGGCTTTGGCTTCCTAGCCCAGCCTGCATGGTTACATACATAACCTGAGACGTTTTTTGTGATTAGCAGGTTACGACCAAAAAAAAAAAATACACAAACCATTCTGACTTAACAGTCATGTCAAAAAATAACCAAAATGTCAGCAGCCTAAACATTTGAAGTTATTTAGATACCTCTATAATTACTGTGCTTTTTGCAGCTTAATAGTTAACTGATAAACAATGTATACGATTAATTATTTTGCTGTCAACAACAAAAAAAGCTGCAGATGGGACCATTTTGGTTTTAAGTGTTGAATAAAATCTGGGTTTAGGGACGTTAATAATTCTGAGAAGAATCTCAGTGTTACAATATTTCCGACATAACGTAAACAATAAACAATCAAACATACAGACCTTTATTTAAAGGAAGCTCATACCTTTATAAAAAAATTAAACCCCTTTATTGTTTCTCAAATACAAAAGAAATACAAAAAGAAACACAGACAGCAAGAGAGACACTCAGTCAGCGGCAGCAGTCTGAAGTACAGCTCAGTCTTTTAGTTAAGTACGCAGTCTGTTTTCCCCGTCCTCTAGGCCAGATCGCTCTTGTCCGTGACCTCGGCGTGGCTGGTGTCCGAGCCGCCCGGCGCCAGCAGAGTTCTGCGGTTGTAGTGGCCCTTCATGATGCCTGAGTTGTTGTTTTCATTGAGGATTTGTTTCTGTTTCTGCCGGTTTAGGGACTGGACCAGGCCGAGCACCACGGCGGCGAGCGAGTACTGGCCCGTGAGCTTCCTCGGCTGCAGGATGAGCGGGTTGGGCTGCACGCGGCCCAGCAGGAAGTGCGTACGGATCTTGCCTTCCTGTTCGCTGATGCCCTTCACGTAGATCTCGCCTCGATACTCGAAGGCGAAGCCGCGCTCGTTCAGGATGGCATAGGTCTCCTCTGGGAGCTGGATCTTCCCGCTGACGCCCGTGCTGTCCATGCGACTTGCCAGATTGACCGTCTTCCCCCAAATATCATACTGTGGTTTCTTAGCGCCAATCACTCCAGCCACCACAGAGCCATGAGCCATACCTGAGGAGAGAGAAATCAGCATCAGAATATCTCGCTGTTAAAAAGACTAAATGGTCTAACATGCATTTCAGCCTTCTAATAGAGGGCTATTAAGAAAGTAAACAGTAAAAAAATCTGGTCCCACTTCGTATTAGGTGGCCTAAATTAATCATTTGATACAATGCACTTATTGTGTACATACATGTTTTTACATTGTACTTACATTTAAAAAAATACCTTACATCTGTAATTTGTAATCAATTTCTGTAATTACATTTATAATTACACTGTTGACCCATCCTTTACACCTTAACCCACCCTTAAACCTACCCAATAACACCAAACCTTACCCGTATCCCACCCCAATAGCAGTGTTTTGCAATACAATAAGTACATAGTAGTTAATGCCACCTAATATAAAGTGGGATTCATTTTCATCAGAAAACACTGATTTTGGTCATAATAAATAAATCTTTCAAGACAGACCTGAGGTTGTCAAGTAATAGTGTGGGACTTCTTTAGAAGCCACAAATTTATAATTTTAATTAATTAATTTGTTAGACCGTTTTATGCCATGACAGCCAATTTTTTGGGGTAAGAACTGAGTAGAGTCAGCTAAAAAAAATAGGTAAATAAATTATTAAACATATTTAGAAGGCAATAAGGGCTAGACAAACAGGATAAATAATTTATCATATTTCTATTTGAATTAATTTAAAAATGTAATTCTGTGATGCAAAGCTGAATTTTCAGCAGCCATTAGCAGGGCCGCGTTATCCTAATGGGCAACATGGGCTGCAGCCCAGGGCCCCGAACACTAGGGGGCCCCCGAGTCAATTTTCTTTTGCATTATAGGGTCGCCAAACGTTCCGTATAATATGGAATCGGCCCGTATTTAAGGCATCAGTTTGTCCCGTATTTGCAGGCATACGCCTTATGAGCACCTAGACCATACAAATAACAAATGAATTGTTCTTTTTCCAAATCATTGTTTTAATTACGCACAAAGTTGCCCAAGGAAGGCTTTAAGACCAAGCGGAATCCTCTGCTGCCTAGACGCTCCAGCTTTACAGCGAGTGGGACTCGTGTTTTGATTTCTGCAAATCAGTTTGGTCGAATGCAACGACGAGATTATTGATCGTAAGCACAACATCCAGCTAGAAAACATATCTACCTTTTACTATTTGCAATAGTTGGACCGAGGCTATGGAATAACCTTCCTTTATCTGTGAAAGCTTCAAATCCTGTCTATGAGTTTAAAACAAAATTGAAATCTTATTTTCTTACCTTGGCTTTTTAAACTTTGTATGTTAAATTATCTTTTGCATTTACTGGCCCCGAACACTAGGGGGCCCCCGAGTCAATTTTCTTTTGCATTATAGGGTCGCCAAACGTTCCGTATAATATGGAATCGGCCCGTATTTAAGGCATCAGTTTGTCCCGTATTTGCAGGCATACGCCTTATGAGCACCTAGACCATACAAATAACAAATGAATTGTTCTTTTTCCAAATCATTGTTTTAATTACGCACAAAGTTGCCCAAGGAAGGCTTTAAGACCAAGCGGAATCCTCTGCTGCCTAGACGCTCCAGCTTTACAGCGAGTGGGACTCGTGTTTTGATTTCTGCAAATCAGTTTGGTCGAATGCAACGACGAGATTATTGATCGTAAGCACAACATCCAGCTAGAAAACATATCTACCTTTTACTATTTGCAATAGTTGGACCGAGGCTATGGAATAACCTTCCTTTATATGTGAAAGCTTCAAATCCTGTCTATGAGTTTAAAACAAAATTGAAATCTTATTTTCTTACCTTGGCTTTTTAAACTTTGTATGTTAAATTATCTTTTGCATTTACTGATGTTATTGTTTTTACTGGTTTTTGTATAATTTGTATAGAACTACGGTCAACTGCTGTTGTGTTTATTATCGGTGCTTAATAAATACAAATACAAATAGAGGGAAGATGTATTTCACTATTGTAAGTTAGTGTTGTTAAATCGAGAAACAAAATTATACATTTTTAAAATGTCTATAACTTCTAGCGCATTATAAGAAGAGCAGGAAGAGCACCCTTTTAGTGGTGAGTGATATTAAATTTTATTTGCTGGGTTATTGCAGATTTGTAAGATTATTACTCGATATGCGTTAGCCCAGGGCCCCGCAAAGGCTTAACGGGGCACTGGCCATTAGTCCAGTCTTCAGTGTCGCATGATCCTTCAGAAATCATTCTAATATGCTGATTTGGTTCTTGGCAAACCTCACATCTTATCATTATTAGTTGAAAATGGCTGTGCTGCTTATTATTTTTAAAACAGAAATGGTAATACTTTGTTCATCACAGAATCCTGAAAAAAAAAAAAAGTTCAAAAGAACAGCTTTTATTTGAAATAGAAATATTTTGTAAAATTTTTACTGTCAATTTTATCTCATTTAATGCATAATAAAAGTATTAATTTCTTAAAAATAAAACCTTACTGACCTCTTACTCACACTTTTGAATGGCAGTCTACAGTCTATTTTTTAGATGCCCTCGAGATAAAAATAATACTAATAAAATGTTTTCAGCATGATTTTAAAATAAATCACATGGTGAAGAATCAGAGAAGTAACAGGAATAGTGACTGCCCCCTCCCACAAAGCATTGCAAATGACATAATCAAGTCTCAAAAGTCTCAAATAATAATATTTTCGTAAATAAAATTTCCATAAAAATTTTTTTTTTGTTTTCTTTTTTTGGCTTCAAATCAAATTGTAATATTGTGAATCATCTCAGAGCTGACCATGATTCATGGCTTGGAATCTTTTTTAAAACTGTTCTGAAATGCCTGTGGAGAAAACAAACAGGAAAAAAACTTCCGGAATCAAGGCTGATCAAAGAGTGGGCAGTCACTGTTGCGCTCCTTTCTCACTTCCAAAAGTTCTTCTGAATTATTTGTTTGAATCATTTGACTCTTACCGATTCTGAGCTGGAAGTTGTTAAACGAATGTTTGTTGATCTCCTGAATGCTTTCATTCAGAGCAATGGCGAAATCAGCCAGCGCGCACAGATGTCCCCATTTATCCTCACATTGCTATGGTAACACAAACATATAGAAAGATTAATGCACAAACTAAACTACAGACACTACAGGCTTATAAGACATCCAGTAATATCTGCTTTAGTATGCATTAGTGTGTAGGTTTCTGTAGGTGTGTGTGTGTGTTTTCATACTTGTTTCTCAGGAGACAGTCCTGACACGGCCATGTATGTGCTGCCGATGGTCTTTATCTTCTCGATGTCCTGAAATCGCTCCTCCCCCAGCAGCTGCAGAGAGACAATCTTTCAGATATGACAGCCTACATATGTAGCATTAAACATTCAACAGCAGCTTCTGAGCAGGTGTGATGGATCCGTGTGTCTTAGAGAGAATCATTAAATGACAATTCTGTCCTTATTTACTTACCCCCATTTCACGACAAACCTGTACACGCTGTCATTTTTGTTATTGAATGGGTTTGGATCAACATGGGGTGAGTAAATATTGACAGAATTGTCATGTATTTATGAACTATGCCTTTAAATACGTGTATGTTTATGCTGGTGGAATTTAACGTAAACAATAAACAATCAAACATACAGACCTTTATTTAAAGGAAGCTCATACCTTTATAAAAAAATTAAACCCCTTTATTGTTTCTCAAATACAAAAGAAATACAAAAAGAAACACAGACAGCAAGAGAGACACTCAGTCAGCGGCAGCAGTCTGAAGTACAGCTCAGTCTTTTAGTTAAGTACGCAGTCTGTTTTCCCCGTCCTCTAGGCCAGATCGCTCTTGTCCGTGACCTCGGCGTGGCTGGTGTCCGAGCCGCCCGGCGCCAGCAGAGTTCTGCGGTTGTAGTGGCCCTTCATGATGCCTGAGTTGTTGTTTTCATTGAGGATTTGTTTCTGTTTCTGCCGGTTTAGGGACTGGACCAGGCCGAGCACCACGGCGGCGAGCGAGTACTGGCCCGTGAGCTTCCTCGGCTGCAGGATGAGCGGGTTGGGCTGCACGCGGCCCAGCAGGAAGTGCGTACGGATCTTGCCTTCCTGTTCGCTGATGCCCTTCACGTAGATCTCGCCTCGATACTCGAAGGCGAAGCCGCGCTCGTTCAGGATGGCATAGGTCTCCTCTGGGAGCTGGATCTTCCCGCTGACGCCCGTGCTGTCCATGCGACTTGCCAGATTGACCGTCTTCCCCCAAATATCATACTGTGGTTTCTTAGCGCCAATCACTCCAGCCACCACAGAGCCATGAGCCATACCTGAGGAGAGAGAAATCAGCATCAGAATATCTCGCTGTTAAAAAGACTAAATGGTCTAACATGCATTTCAGCCTTCTAATAGAGGGCTATTAAGAAAGTAAACAGTAAAAAAATCTGGTCCCACTTCGTATTAGGTGGCCTAAATTAATCATTTGATACAATGCACTTATTGTGTACATACATGTTTTTACATTGTACTTACATTTAAAAAAATACCTTACATCTGTAATTTGTAATCAATTTCTGTAATTACATTTATAATTACACTGTTGACCCATCCTTTACACCTTAACCCACCCTTAAACCTACCCAATAACACCAAACCTTACCCGTATCCCACCCCAATAGCAGTGTTTTGCAATACAATAAGTACATAGTAGTTAATGCCACCTAATATAAAGTGGGATTCATTTTCATCAGAAAACACTGATTTTGGTCATAATAAATAAATCTTTCAAGACAGACCTGAGGTTGTCAAGTAATAGTGTGGGACTTCTTTAGAAGCCACAAATTTATAATTTTAATTAATTAATTTGTTAGACCGTTTTATGCCATGACAGCCAATTTTTTGGGGTAAGAACTGAGTAGAGTCAGCTAAAAAAAATAGGTAAATAAATTATTAAACATATTTAGAAGGCAATAAGGGCTAGACAAACAGGATAAATAATTTATCATATTTCTATTTGAATTAATTTAAAAATGTAATTCTGTGATGCAAAGCTGAATTTTCAGCAGCCATTAGCAGGGCCGCGTTATCCTAATGGGCAACATGGGCTGCAGCCCAGGGCCCCGAACACTAGGGGGCCCCCGAGTCAATTTTCTTTTGCATTATAGGGTCGCCAAACGTTCCGTATAATATGGAATCGGCCCGTATTTAAGGCATCAGTTTGTCCCGTATTTGCAGGCATACGCCTTATGAGCACCTAGACCATACAAATAACAAATGAATTGTTCTTTTTCCAAATCATTGTTTTAATTACGCACAAAGTTGCCCAAGGAAGGCTTTAAGACCAAGCGGAATCCTCTGCCGCCTAGTCGCTCCCGCTTCACAGTGAGCGGGACTCGTGTTTTGATTTCTGCAAATCAGTTTGGTCGAATGCAACGACGAGATTATTGATCGTAAGCACAACATCCAGCTAGAAAACATATCTACCTTTTACTATTTGCAATAGTTGGACCGAGGCTATGGAATAACCTTCCTTTATATGTGAAAGCTTCAAATCCTGTCTATGAGTTTAAAACAAAATTGAAATCTTATTTTCTTACCTTGGCTTTTTAAACTTTGTATGTTAAATTATCTTTTGCATTTACTGATGTTATTGTTTTTACTGGTTTTTGTATAATTTGTATAGAACTACGGTCAACTGCTGTTGTGTTTATTATCGGTGCTTAATAAATACAAATACAAATAGAGGGAAGATGTATTTCACTATTGTAAGTTAGTGTTGTTAAATCGAGAAACAAAATTATACATTTTTAAAATGTCTATAACTTCTAGCGCATTATAAGAAGAGCAGGAAGAGCACCCTTTTAGTGGTGAGTGATATTAAATTTTATTTGCTGGGTTATTGCAGATTTGTAAGATTATTACTCGATAATATCGTTTAATTTATGTAGGCTATAGAATTTTTTTTGCCTCCTATGTGATTATGACGTGCGCATTGTGTTTAATTCACGAGTATATTGTGCACGTCTTTATAAAGTATTTGATCGTATTTTTGATTTTGATTGGCGTGT